CTGGGCTGGATTCGAACCCACCACCTTAGGTTTATGTATGTGGCTGGCGCCATAGCCACTTAAGCCACAGGCGCCAAGCCTGACTATTTTTTTTTTTGTTGTTCTTGTTGTTGTAGTCTAGCTAGCCTGGGCTGGGTTCAAACCTGCCACCCTCAGTGTTTATGGCTGGCGCAGAAACCGCTGTGCTATGGGTGCCGAGCCTAGAAGTTCAATATTAATAGCTATGTAGGTTTTATCCTTTATTTCCTAATCAATTTAGACAGTGAAAAATAATCTCTATAGATTATTTTATTTTATTTCTCTACAGATGAAGTGAAGGGAGCTGGAAACGTGATGTCTAACTTAGGAATGCTGCTGAGCGCAGTCTAACCTGTCTGAAAAAGTGTCCTATTGTTTTCAACAAGGAGTGAGCATCTTGATTGATTGAGGATTCAAATTCTGGAAGTTCTCTTACTCAAAAGAGAAATTGGTCCAATTCTGACTTATTATAAACTTAGAGTTTACAATGATCATAATTCTAATAGAACGTCTCAAAGACAGTTATAGCCTTTCTCTAAAACACCAGTTACTAAGCTCTTATCTCAGCTTAATTTGCTTTATTTATTTGCTTAATTACATTTATCCTTTAAGTCTTTTTTTTCTCTGTTGTCATCCTCCTTGGGCTTTTTGTTCACCTGGGCATTTCTAAAGACAACAAAGATCTTAACAATATGCCTGGTCATGTCAGCAGGAGGTAGATGTGGGGCATTGTGTGTCAGGTTGAGCTCAGGAGGGTAACCCTGAACCTCTGTGGGCAGGACTAAAGACTGCCTATTTTTGTTTTGTTATTTTTTTTATATAGAGTCTCATTTTGTCACCCTCAGTAGAGTGCTATGGTGTCATAGCTCACAGCAACCTCAAACTCCTGGGCTCAAGTGATCTTGCAAGCCGGGTGCAGTGGTCACATCTATAATCTCAGCACTCTGGAAGGATGAGGCAGGTGGATTGCCTGCGCTCAGCAGTTCATGACTAGCCTGAGCAAGAGCGAGACCCCATCTTTTAAATTAGCCAGGCATTGTTGTAGGTGCCTGTAGTCCCAGCTACTGGGGAAGGTGATTCAGGAGGATCACTTAAGCTCAAGGGTTTCAGGTTGTTGTGAGCTGTGATGCCACAACACTCTCCCAAGGGTGACAAAATGAGACTCTGTCTCAAAAAAAGTGATCCTCTTACCTCAGCCTCCTGAATAGTTAGGACTAGAGGTATACCCATCATGATACCCAGCTAGTTTTTCTACATTTTTAGTAGAGAAGGGGTCGTACTTTTGCTCAGGCTAGTCTTGAACTCCTGAGCTCAGGCAACCCTCTTGCCTCAGCCTCCTGGAGTGCTGCGATTACAGGCATGAGCCATTGCTCCCAGCTCGTCAGCCTTCTAATACAAAAATGTAGCTTTCTATGGATTTCATGGGTAGAGGGAGGTCCAGAAACTAAGAACACACAGTTTCTGTCACAGCTGGGCATGCACAGGAGGCCAGGCCTCTGGGACTGGACTGATGGGTTCAGATCCTTATGTTCTTACATGCTGCTGTCCTGCCCTGCATAAGAGTTCTGAGGGGCAGCCATGTGAAGTCCCCTTTTATATAAGTGCTTCTTCCTGGGGAATCCTTTTCCTTACCTTGTGGAGAAAGACCCAGCATCTGAACTATTTATTTGCCCACTTGGATCCTGTCTTCCTCATGGAGCTTAAGTGCCCTTCTCACCTGTGCCCCATTGGTCTCTTTCGCCTACCACAGTGCTGGGCCCAGGGACGGTGCTGTGAAAAGCTCATTTCCAGTCCAGCAGCACAGCACCATGGGGAGTGTTGGCCCGTTGCTGCTGAGCAGAATTTGAAAGCCCTGGTGTGGCATCTTAACTTGAGCAGTCCTTGACTGAGAATGTTCTTCTTAAGCTTTCTGGGCAGAACTAGAAATCATTTGTCATCTGTTTCAGGGAGATACTCAAAAGATACTTTTCCTTTTTTATTAAGGTTGGCTGGATATTTACAGACCTTGTCTCAGAAGACACCCGAAAGGGTACGGTCCGGTACAGTCGGAATAAGGTGAGCTGGAGACACAGGCGTTGGCTCAGCCCTACAGCTTGGCCACAGTCAGTGTTGACTCACTTTCTGTGCGTCTTCTCTGCTCAGCTTTTCCTGGCTTTCAGACCAAATTAGTTTTCAAGACATTCTTATCGGTAAATTGAGGATGGGTCTGTTTGCTGTTTCTTGCAGAATAAAACCCACCTCACCTTTACAGTGATTTCCAGAGATCACCCTGGAGGGGGGCAGGGGTGGTTTGCGTCATGATTCTGGTATCTATTTATGGGTGGTTTTAGATGAGAATTTGTGATGGCAAGGAATTATAGGTCTTCATTTCATGGTTTTTAGGGCTTTATAATTTAGTTCTTATTTTCCAAAGAAAAAATAGAAGCATCTTTTTTTTCTTTTTTTTTTTTT